CAACATGGGTATCAAACACCCGGGTATTCCAAAACTGACTGCACAGCCCTAGAACAGGATTGTTCTTTAAAATAAGATGACGAAAAAAAATTGACTGCCAAAACAAGAAGAGTTGAGCTTTGCTTCAAAAGGTTAGTGATTTGGACATTTCTTTAAAAGATAGGAGACCTAGATTGTTTCCTCTGCAGCTTGAGAGGATTAAAACCTGCAGTCCTTACATCCAAAAACAGTGTATCCCAACCACAAGTCTAGGGAACAGCCTCAGGAAGCCAATTTTTAAATCCTTCCTTGAAGCTCTGTATGTGGGGAAAATAACAAGCAGAACACTGAGCTGGAAATGAGAAGTCTTCTGTTTTGTCTCACTGTCCTCAGTATGTGTGTGCATATATCCTGCAGCTTATATTTTAACATAAGCATTTGTACATATGCATACAAATAACATTTCATTCAATAAAATTCAATAAATGTATAAGTTGTGTGCATGTGTGTGATGTCTTACACCAGTAGTAGAGTCACTGGGTTTTTTCTTATGTTTTGAAAGTTTTAACAGAGTTTTCAGTGGAAAAAAAAATTTGAGAGTTCACAAAATACTGTCTTCCATTTAATCCAAAAATAATTGCAGTCTTCTGAGATTTCATTGAGCACTTCTTGCTCTTCCATGTGGGTGGAAATGAAGCAGTAATGCATAGTCCAAGGGCAATCAAAAGAGATTTCAGGGCCTCGTGACACTTGGTAAAGGAATCTAGAGCACAGGTTGTATTTTCTTCTATCCTTCCAGTTGTGGACAACAATATTGGAAGAAACAGATGGACCCAGACTGTTAATACATGGCTCCATGGCTGGTATTACCGCCACAAATTTGGGTTTTTGATAATGGGATGGTCTACGTGGCACCAGGCCTACTGACATTGGATGGCATTCACCTTTCTCAAAGGGAGAAGAGTGTCTTTGCTCATGAGCTAGTGGGGCTCATCGACAGAGCTTTAACCTAGACTTGAAAGAGGAGGGGGTCAATATCAGGCTAGCCCATGACAAGCCAAGGTTAGATGGGGTGCTAGCGAGGGCCTTCAGCCTGTTGGTCTGAGATGTGCTGGGTACACTGCAGTGCACTTGAAGTCTTATGGAGATAAGCCAGGTGCTCCAGAGGTAATAGGAGCCAACAGGGAAGCACTGGTGCAGTACGTCAAAGGTGTGTTCCTCTAAGAAGGTGACATGGCCAACAGCCCAGCTGAAGTGGCTCTACAGCAATGCATGCAGCAAGGGCAACAAACAGAAGAAGCTGGAAACCACTGTGCTGCTAGAAAGCTATGACCTAGTTGCCATTACTGAAACCTGGTGGGACGAGTCCAATGACTGCAGTGCAGCTGTTAATGGCTACATGCTGTTCAGAAGGGACAGGCGAGGAAGGAGGCGAAGAGGAGTTGCCCTCTACATCAAGAAATGGATAGATTGTGAAGACCTGTCTCTGAAGAATAGCCACGAGCAGGTTGAAATCTTATGGGTAAGAATTAGAGACCGAGGCAACAAAGGGAACCTTGTGGTTGGTGTTTATTACAGGTCGCCTGATCAAGGGGGGCCTATTGACAAAGCTTCTTACTCCAGCTACAGGATGTATTGCACTCACAGGCTCTCATCCTGCTGGGGGACTTCAACCACCCCAACATCTGCTGGAAAAGTAGCATGGTGAGCTGCAGGCAATGCAGGAGGCTCCTGGAGTGCATGGAGGATACAGCTTCTTAAGCCAATTAGTATACAGCCCTACCAGAGGGGATATGATACTGGACCAGATGGTCACCAATGCAAGTGAACTAATCGGTGACATCAAGATTGGAGGCAGCCTGGGCTGCAGTAATTGTGCACTGGTGGAGTTCGCAGTCCTGAGGGATAAGGGTCAGGCAAAGACCTGAATTTTAGGAAAGTAAACTTCCAGCTGTTCAAGGAGTTAGTCAATAGGACCCCGTGGGAAACTACCCTCAAGCACAAGGGAGCAGAACAGAGCTGGCAGATCTTTGAGGATGCTTTCCATAGAATGCAAGAGCTCTCAATCCCCAGGTGTAAGAAATCAGGAAAGAAAGGCAAGAGACCGACATGGATGAGTGGAGACCTGCTGGTCAAACTAAAGGGCAAGAAGGAAATGCACACGCAGTGGAAACAGGGACAGGTATCCTGGGAAGTGTGTAAGGATGCTGCCCGGTTGTGTAGGGATGGGGTCAGTAAGGCCAAAGCGCAGCCGGAGCTGAACTCGGCAAGGGACACAGAATAGTAAGAAGGGCTTCTACAGCTATGCCAGCCAGAAAAGGTAGGTCAAAGAAAGCATATCCCCCCCGCCATGAACACAACTGGCAAAATGGTAACAATGGACGAGGAGAAGGCTGAGGTACTCAACTTTTTTTGCCTCAGTCTTCACTGGTAAAGTCTTTTCCCATATCCCTCGAGTGGATGGACTGCAAGACAGGGACTGAGGGAGCAAAGTCCTCCCACTGTAAGAGATCAGATTTGTGACCACTTGAGGAACCTGAATATACATAATTCTATGGGGCCTGACAAGATGCATCCCAGAGTCCTGAGGGAATTGGTTAATGTAGTTGGCAAGCCATTCTCCATGATATTTGAAAAGTCATGGCAGTCAGGTGAAGTCCCTGGTGACTGGAAAAAGGGAAACATTGCACCCATTTTAAAAAAAGGGTAGAAAGGAGGATCCTGGGAACTACCAACCTGTCCGCCTCACCTCTATGCGTGGGAAGATCATGGAACAGATCCTCCTAGAAGCTATGCTAAGGCACACGTAGGACAGGGAAATGATTCAAGACAGTGAGCATGGCTTCACCAAGGGCAAGTCTTGCCTGATCAACCTCGTGGCCTTCTATAATGGAGTAACTACATCAATGGACAAGGGAAGAGCTATGGATGTCATCTTAATGGACTTCTGTAAGGTCTTTGACGTGGTCCCCCACGACATCCTTCTCTCTAAATTGGAGAGATATGGATTTGATGGGTGGACTGTTCAGTGGATGAGGAATTGGTTGGACGGTCACATCCAGAGGGTAGTGGTCAATGGCTCAATGTCCAGATGGAGACTGGTGACAAGTGGTGTCCCTCAGGGGTCCATATTGGGACCAGTACTGTTTAAGATCTTCATCAACAACATGGACAGTGGGATCAAGTGCACCCTCAGCAAGTTTGCAGGCAACTCCAAGCTGAGTTATGCAGTTGACACGCCTGAAGGACAGGATGCCATCCAGAGGGACCTGGACAAGCTCAAGAAGTGGGCCCATGTGAAGCTCATGAGCTTCAACAAGGCCAAGTGCAAGGTCCTGCACATGGGTTGGGATGACCTCTGGAATCAAATAAAGGCTGGGGGATGAACGGATTGAGATTAGCCCTGAGGAGGAAGACTTGGGGGTACCGGTGGATGAAAAACTGGACATGACCTGGCAATGCGCACTTGCAACCCAGAAAGTCAACCATATCCTGGGCTGCATCAAAAGAAGCATGACCAGCAGGTCAAGGGAGGTGATTCTGCCACTCTGCTCTCATGAGACCCCACCTGGAGTACTGCATCCAGCTCTGGAGTCCTCAGCACAGAAAAAACATGGACCTGTTGAAGTGAGTCCAGAGAAGGGCCACAAAAATGATCAGAGGGATGGAACACCTCTCCTATGAGAAAAGGCTGAGAGAGTTGGGGTTGTTCAGCCTGGAGAAGAGAAGGCTCCAGGGAGACCTTATTGTGGCCTTTCAATACTTAAAGTGGGCTTATAAGAAAGGTGGGGACAGACCTTTTAGCAGGCCTTGTAGCGACTGGACAAAGGGTGGTAGTTTTAAACTAAAAGAGGGTAGACTCAGACTAGATATAAGAAGGAAAATTTTTACAGTGTGGGTGGTGATACACTGGAACAGGTTGCCCACAGTGGTTGTAGATGCCCCACCCCTGGAAACATTCAAGGTGAGGCTGGACAGGGTCCTAAGCAATCTGATCTAGTTGAAGATGTCTGTGAACTGAAAATATCTGGCCAAAAGTTGCATATGTAAGTACTCAATGAACTGGTAACACACAGAGGCAAATACGAAAGAAGAGGAAAGTATATTTGCTTCAAAGAAAAAATTTCAGGTCATTAAAAGGAAATGCATTGTAGAGTTTATCCCTCCAAGAAAGATCTTGACCTCAATAAGCAACGACTGAGTCCTGGCTTTGGCTGGGATAGAGTTAATTTTCTTCCTAGCAGCTGGCATAGTGCTGTGTTTTGGATTTAGGACAAGAATGATGTTGATAACACACTAATATTTTAGTTCCTGCCAAGCAGTCAGGGACTTTTCAGCTTCTCATACCAGCGTGCCAATGAGAAGGGGGCACCCAAGAGGCTGGGAGCCAGGACAGCTGACCCAAACTGGCCAAAGGGATACTCCATACCATATGATGTCATGCTCCGTATGTAACAGGGGGGTTGGCCAGGAGGCAGCGCGGCTCAGGAGCTAATTAAGCATCAGCTTTGGGTGGTGAGAAATTCTGCTGTGCATCACTTGTTTTGTATATTCTTTTATTATCATCATCATTATTATTCTCTTCCTTTTCTGTTCTATTAAACTGTCTTTATCTCAACTCATGAGTTTTCCTTTTTTTTTTCTTTTCCTTTCTCTCCCCCATCCCACTGTGGTGGTGAGGGAGTGAGCAAACGGCTGTGTGGTTGTTTTAGCTGCCTACCGGGTTAAACAATGACAGACTGTTACCAAATATTGTGTTTGTTCATACTCTGTAGCTATGCTGTGAGAGAACACCTAATTTTTTTAAACAATGAAACCACCTGTTCAATTTATTATATGGCATAAATATTAATAGCCTTGAGCGTGTGGTTTCTCAAGGTTAAAGATACAAGTGCCATGATGCTCTGGTTACATTATTAAGATTCGAGTCACCCAGCTCCTTATGGCTACAGATAACATCTAATCAGTTAATCAAAGATAAACCAAAACAGATAACTGGATGTCAAAATCATTAATCTTACCTGACAGGCAGATGTAAGTTAAATATTCACCCTGACCTCCGGTAGCTAGGAAAGGAATCTTTTTTTTTGTTCTTCTTTTAACTTGGACAGCTCCCAGCATCCTTTCATCATGTGGGGCAAAAATTTCTTTGCTGATTGCAGATTTGGCATTCATTGTAGATCACAGATATAGCAGACTGCTGCTCTCTAAAAATAGAATCATAAATAAAAGAAAATATTAGAAACTCCTAAGTTATGTGAAAGTCCAGCTAACTTACATGGGTATTAGCAGCTCTGACCTTCAAATAAAGTTTTGAATGATTCAAAGAACTTAGAAGATGACTTCATGCACTTAGAGGAAGAATTTTCAAAGTATCTAAGAGTATTCACTTAAGTTGTTCTCCACACTTCTTAAATGCTCTTAAACTAGCTTAGTTTATTTTGGGCAGAAGCTAGTGTTCACACTAGCACTTCACTATGATGCAAAATCTTCTCAGAGGGACACCTTGTAACTTCCTGCTGCATAAAAGCTTCATTAATTCCCTCTCTGGTAACTGGAGGGAAGCTCATCTGTGCCACAGACACGGAAAGCACTGCAAGGGCACAGGGAAGGAGCACTATGGTTGAGTTCATCAGTGTCCTCTCTGAGCTTGGTTGTGCTGGCAGGCAAGAAGTCACCTTCACAGAAGATACAGAAAACTTCACAGTCAGTAAGATTGTTCCTTCAGGAGCACTGCTCTTGGTGACAATACTTGATTAAGCAGCTCCTGCAGCTTTAGCACCTCATCCTCTCAACTCCTCTGTAATTACCAACTGGGCAACTGCACAGAAACAGCGTCACAGAAACAAAAGGGGTTCATGCAGACAAAACCACAACTCCTCTTTTCTGCTAAGTCATTTTGAGACAGGTCAGTTCCTCAATGTGGTTCATAAGAAAACAGCACCATCAACTTTTGGAAGCAAAAAAAACAAGTAGAGAACAGGGAGGGAGAAGGAGGGAAGCTGCTTAATCAGGTGTGTGCAGCAAAAGAAATATCCATCTGACCACAGCTCAGAGGAGCCTAGCTAAAGGAGAGAGAACTCAGTTACAGAGGGGACATTAACAGGCTCTTTATGTAGACAGCATCACAATTATAACTCTGAAATCTGTTAGTAAGTATATAGGACCCACCGACAGAGACTGCCGAATGCCCCTTTTAATTGTTCAAATACAATAATGCTCCAATACACATACATTAAATTCCACATCTCCATATTATTAAGTCCACAGATCTTTTTTGACATCCTTAGCTTTTTGACTATGACTAAGATCATATTCAGGTCTCAACTACTGAAGCCAGAAATTCTGCCTGTGGGATCATTTGATATTTGCAACAATTTAACTATTAGAAAACATAGATAAATCCCAGACAAATTAGATTATGAAGCCAATAGAGTCATGGATCCATTATTTTTAGTGTGCATACTACCAGCAAAGTAATTGTCTTAACACCTTCAATCTTAACATTTTGTTGGCACTTATTTATGATATTCCCTTATCATAAAAAAAA